GGATGGAATTAATGAGAACAATATGTGCCAAGAACACATTCTCCATACCATTACACCACGAGCCTGGACTAGTGACACAAAGCAGGATGGGTCCATGGTTTCATGTTCTCAATGCCAAATTCTGACCCTACCATTTGTGTGCCTCAGCTGAAATCGAGGTTTATCAAACCAGGCTATAGTTTTCCAGACTTCAACTTTCCAGTTTTGGTGAGCCTGTGCCCACTGAAGTCTCACCTCAAGGTTGGACATCTCATGCATTGTAAGATGTTTTGCTCACCACAGTTGTAGAGAAAGGTTGTCTGAGTTACAGTAGCCTCTCTGTCAATCTCTGTGGCCATTCTCCTTTGACCTCTCTAATCAATATGGCATTTAAATTTCCAGATCTGCATCTCACTGAATGTTTTTGTACCATTCCAGAAGATCAGCTCTTACACAAATACTCCTCCAAGTCCATTTGGCACCAACAGTCTACTTTCTCCACTGCAGGTGGCACTCCTCCACAGTGGCACTGCAGCTGGAGAGAAGGTCAAGAGGAGCACAGTTCCTCTATGATTTCTTGGGTCACTGGGGAAGCACCCAATTTGATGCTGCTGCCCCACGTGACTCCGGCAGCCATCTTGGGTCAAGCAGAGCCTGTTTGAGGCCCTAGCTTCCAGGGTTGGTGCACTTTTTGCAAGTTGGCAGTGTAGAGAATGGTACCCTGCCTGTTAGGGACAGTACTAGTGGTAAGGAAACGTTTCTGGTGGGGAGGGAAAGCATAGGGACGCAACTCCTTTGGACATCTCCCTGTTTGTCCACAAGACAACCAGGCTGCATTCTGATACCTGTCATCTTCACATTGTTAGAAACCGTGAGTGGACCTGGTTGGACAGGTGTCATTGTGAACTGTTGCTGCATTACTTCAGTACAAGTTTTCCATTGCACCTTTCTGTGTGAATTACTACCGCTGAACTACACTGCACCCCACCTACACATTCAACTGGACATTTTCTGCAATGTTGAAGAGGTTTCAAAGATTCTCCTAGCCTCTTCCTTATATCTAATGAGTTTCAGGAAAATACTCCAGCACTTTTATCCGCATGGGTATCATCGACACCTTAATCTAATTGCCATGGAAAGGCAAATGGTATTATCTACTTACAGGATGGGAGGTATGAAATTTGTGGAAGCACCCTGTTCTAGTTACATAATCCAATCAGGAAGGCTTCATATGAATTAATCATTTGTTTTAAATGGCTAAAGTTGTGAATTGTTGTCAAAATGATGGGATTGAGATGTTAAAGTGGTATTACATGTGAAAGACAGATGGCAGTGTAGACCCCACCCCTGTTCAGTGATGGTTGTTCTATTTTGACATAGATAGCCTCTTTCATGGCCTTTGCAAACCAGCTGTCCTCTGTCCATAATGTCCTCAATAGAAGGTCCCTTTTCCCCAAGGTGTAGGAAGACTGAGTCTTGACCTGTAGAAATGCCCATGTTGGGCCATTTGTTTGGGAGGTTGTTTCATTTCCCTAATGTCCTGGTTTTTACACTCCTCATTATATTGCAAAGCATATACCAAGTTATTTCCCTTGTGTTTGGGTGTTGGGTCTTCAGTGATGTTTGTTAAAGAACCTTCTGGGTTTTTCCAACACTCCTACATATGTTTATTGAAGCAGTCTTAAATGTCAAAGGAAACATCTCATGAGAGAAATACAGTACACAAGCTCCCAAACCTGAACTTGAAGCCTTCTGAAATTGCTACTTACCTGGCTGTCATATTGATCTTCTGTCACTTTCCATGTCACTGTCTTGGAACAATTATACAGTTCTGGTGTTCACTTTCTATACTGACTGCATATTTGTTCTGGGTCAAATAACAACTATGAAACCCAGGGACCAGTATGACAGTCAGGTAATTAGTATTTTTAGTAGAATAGCAATGATGGCTTGTGCATTGCTTTACAGTCCAAACTCTGTTTTTAGTCATATTTAAAAAATAAAAATAATCAAGGATTCATTGAAATAAAACCAATCAGCGTTTGAAAAGGCAGCCTGCTTTTGGCATGCTCCTCAGGAGATTCACTGCTTCAGTCATCCAGTTGTAGCACTAACCCCCAAAGGAGCCACTGGCGATGATGGGTCCTCTGGTCCACCATGACTCTCTTTAGCCTGGGTTCACACAGGAGCGGTGCATGTGATTCAGACAGGAATTGCACCTCATTCCTGTTCAAGAAATTCTGAGTACACTCTGCACACTGGTATATACCCTTTCAAGCAGACTATGCAATAAATAGGGATATTTGGTTCACACATATTACAATACATGCTTAAGCTGGCCAACTGCGTCAAAGTAATCCCTCTATGGCCAGTCCTACTCTGTTCTGCCTACGCAAATACTACTGTAGACACAATGCTAACATAGGGGAAAAGACACAATGGGGGAGAGCTACAAGGTTCAGGTCTGGCTACTGACCCAACAATACAACAAACAAGAGATCCCTGTGCTCAAATCCATACAGCTAGTGCATGCATTTATCCATCAGGTGCTAAAGGGGTGTAACCACATATTAACACCAGAAATTCTGAAGGACCCCCTGCACACTGGTATATACCCTTTCAAGCAGACTATGCAATAAATAGGGATATTTAGCTCGCACATATTGCAATACATGTTTAAGCTGGCCAACTGCGTCAAAGTAATCCCTCTATGGCCAGTCCTACTCTGCTCTGCCTTTGCAAATGCTACTGTGGACACAATGCTAGCATAGGGGAAAAGACACAATGGGGAGAGCTACAAGGTTCATTCCTGTTCAAATCACATGCGGTTTTTTGCAGTGTGATTTGAACCCATTCATTTTGTATGAGTTCAAATCGCACCACACCTGCACTCAAAAAAGGTGCAGGCATGTTTTTTTTGCCACACCAGAATCAGATCGCATTGGGGGTCCACACCCATGCTATCCAATTCTGGCAATTGCACTATGTTTTGTGAACTGTTTTGGGGAATTGTTCATTTAAAATTGACACTCGCAGCAGATCACATGAACGTGGTGCAATTTCAATGCAGGCTGGGAAACTTGCAGGATTTTTTTTTCGCACAGGATATATATATGTGAACTGGGGCTAAATCTGCTCGGTCCCTACTGACACAGCCGGTTAGAGGTAGAGGGCCACTCACACCTGAATAACTTAAGTGTTAGTGGACAGCAAAGTGGCTAAATGGTTAGCACTTCCGCCTGGCAGTACTAGGGTCATTGGTTTGAATCCCAGCCATGGCACCACCTGCCTGGAATTTGTATGTTCTCCCTGTGCCTGCGTGGGTTTATTTCAAGCACTTTGGTTTCCTCTCACACTCCAAAGACATGCTGGTAGGTTAACTGGCTCCTGTCTAAATTGGCCCTAATATGTGTATGTATGAATGTGAGTTAGGGACCTTAGATTGTACGCCCCTTGAGGGTTAGGGACTGATGTGACTGTACAATATATATGTAAAGCACTGTGTAAATTGATGGCGCTATATAAGTACCTGTAATAATAGTAAGTTACCACAATATAATAATACACAGAAATTAGGCAATACACTGCCAGATGGTAGGTTAAATAAATGTATTATGCCAAGGAAGGTAAACAGTACCAGACTTAGCATCAAACAACAGAACATATTTTAAAGTTGCAAAACTATGGAAAATAAACTTTGACCTTTGCCAGGAGGAACTACCTAAACGGCATCAACGTTAGTTCAGACTGAGCCAACTATCAATCAGCAGAATCGGACACAAGCAACTCAAAGGTAATGTTCTTGAGTGCATATCCCCAATGCGGGTATCCATAGTGTTCCTCAGTGGAGTACCCTCAAATATGGCACCTTAATATTAGTGTTGGCCGCCTTGTGATGGGGCCATCTTGTCGGTGGTGCACCAGAGTTTGTATCTTTAAGAGCATGTGGTATATTGCTGCAGGGTTGCTACATAATGAGCAGTCTATGTGGCAGTGTAGCAAGGGGTTTAAAGTTGTATCTCCTCTCATAACTCCGGGCAGACAACAGGTCGGGGTCTACACACTTGGTGGTTAGCAGTCCTGACGTCCAGTCCCTGAGGCTCAGTCTCCAAATGGTGGATCACACACTTGCACTCTCTGGCAGCCTCAGCAGCAATTCTTTCATCACTCTGAAGTAGGCAGTCAGGCTCCAGCAGCAAGTTCCCTCTGCATGACTCTCTCTGAGAGGGGGGGAGGGGGGTGAGCAGGTGAGTTGGGGACCACACAGCAGGATGAAGCAAGCTACACAGTGTTGACCGGTCCTCTTCCGGTTTAATGATGCCCAGCATCATCACGGTGACATCACAGGAGAATTCTGAAACCTTAGGACCAATGATGTTATATGACTGCACTTAAAGCGGAGCTCCACCCAAAAGAGGAAGTTCCACTTTAAGGCCTTGTTTCACGCTCCCAGTTAAGGATTGGTACTTTTGGGAAGCAGGTACCTGATTTTGACAGGTACCCACTCCCACTGTGATTGGAAGCGAAATACCCCCCCCCCCCCCCCAGTCTTCTGGGACACATGACAGGCTCCAGAGGACCATTCACAAAGTGCAGCGCTTCTCGCACATGCGCAATGGGCACCTGGCTGTGAAGCCGCAAACTGTCACAGCTGGGTACCCACATGTAAGATGCCAGTGCTGGGGATACAGGACAGCCGGTGATCCCAGCTGCGATGAGGACACCGCTAGATACTAGGACAGGTGAGTCGCAGTTTTTGTAGCTGCTGACGTTTATTTTTTTTCACCAGAGACTGGAGCACCGCTTTAAGAACCATACTAAAAATAGTATCTATAAAAAAATATTTAAAAATGAAGACAAGGAATGCTGGAAGCCTAGCTAAAGTCACGGATATGCATAGACTTTGTACTAAAAACTTTCATAGTCTTACCTTCACTTCCTGTTACAGCCATTGTGCAGAGTATGCAAATATGACTGCATAGTCCAACAGGCAACCAGAGCTAGACCTAGTGCACGGAGTAACCCCTCTCTGCCAATCCCCTCCACTGGCCTACATTCAGTGTCCTCCACCCCTCTCTGCCAATCCCTCCACTGGCCTCCATACAGTGTCCTCCACCCCTCTCTGCCAATCCCTCCACTGGCCTACATTCAGTGTCCTCCACCCCTCTCTGCCAATCCCTCCACTGGCCTCCATTCAGTGTCCTCCACCCCTCTCTGCCAATCCCTCCACTGGCCTAATTCAGTCCCTCCACTGGCCAATCCACTGGCCTCCATTCAGTGTCCTCCACCCCTCTCTGCCAATCCCTCCACTGGCTTACATTCAGTGTCTTCCACCCCTCTCTGCCAATCCCTCCACTGGCCTCCACTCAGTGTCCTCCACCCCTCTCTGCCAATCCCTCCACTGGCCTCCATTTAGTGTCCTCCACCCCTCTCTGCCAATCCCTCCACTGGCCTACATTCAGTGTCCTCCACCCCTCTGCCAATCCCTCCACTGGCCTACATTCAGTGTCCTCCACCCCTCTCTGCCAATCCCTCCACTGGCCTCCATTCAGTGTCCTCCACCCCTCTCTGCCAATCCCTCCACTGGTCTCCATTCAGTGTCCTCCACCCCTCTCTGCCAATCCCTCCACTGGCCTACATTCAGTGTCCTCCACCCCTCTCTGCCAATCCCTCCACTGGCCTACATTCAGTGTCCTCCACCCCTCTCTGCTAATCCACTGGCCTCCACTGGCCTCCACTCAGTGTTCTCCACCCCTCTCTGCCAATCCATCCACTGGCCTCCACTCAGTGTCCTCCACCCCTCTCTGCCAATCCCTCCACTGGCTTCCCATTGCCCAAAGGATAAAATTCAAAACATTAACAATAACATATAAAGCCATTTATAACTCTGCCCCAAATTACATCACTGATCTTGTCTTGTCAAACCGTCCTCTCCGATTCTCCAATGACCTCCTGCTCTCTAGCTCCCTTGTCTCCTCCTCCCATGCTCATCTCCAGGACTTCTCCAGAGCCCCTCCATCCTCTGGAACTCTCTACTCCAATTTATCAGACTATTGACTACTCTGCTCACTTTTAGGCGATCTCTGAAAACATATCTCTTCAGGGAAGCCTATCCTGCCCTCAGCTAATAATGGAATTTTCTACTCTTCCTACCAGTCCATCCCCCCCACAGTTATTACCTTTTGTACCAACAGCCCCTCCCTCTTAGATTGTAAGCTCCAAGGATCAGGGCCCTCCTTTCCCTCTTGTATTGAACTGTATTGTTGCTGTATTGTCTCCCGTTATATTGTAAAGCGCTGAGCAAACTGTTGGCGCCATATAAATCCGGTATAATAATAATAATCAGCGCTAAGTAACAGAACTGTTCACACGTGCCCCATCTCTTATTCTTCAATGCAAGTCTAGCACAGTACCAGCTTTGCGATGCATTCCCGTGTAAAAATCTGCCACACATCATAACATGTGAGGTACAGGACTAAAACAAGTGACGGGTCCAGTGATTCTTGAACCTGCAATGTCATACAATGCTGCCTCCTGGATTCAACATTTTTCAGCTTCATCTTACTAAATGTTGGGCAATTGTTTGTAATAAACATTGCTGTTTATATCTTTGTATACTCGTGGTTTTTGCCATATAAAGCCCAGGGGAATATTTCTATTTTTTTTTTTCTTGGTCTGTATATATTGGGATGTTGCCACAAACAGTTTAAATGGTGGGACATTTTATTGTTCATTTTTGCAATGTTGGGCAATTAGTCCTGTCCATGGTCCTGATATACAAGATCACTTGCTGTACAAGGGCTGTCCAGTAATATATTTATTTTTGCTTTTGCTTTTGCAAATTAAAAAAAAAAAAAGACAAAACTCCTTCCCCCCACATACACTTCAACTGCCTTTTCAGTAGCTTAAAGAAATATCTGAAATGATCTGTTTGCATAAATCTTACATTTTCCAGATATTGTGTTTTAACTAATGTCCAGTGTTTGCTTTGTAAAGAGTGCCACCTTGTGGCAACAATCAAGTTGACATGCCTTTTATGTACATACATGTAATACAGTGTAGAGCTCCTAAAAAAAAATGTAACGACTCTTTATAAACTCCATATAAATGTAAAACAATTCAAGACAAAGCAATCAATGGTAAACTATTAATTTATTCTGTACAGTTTTTTTTTTATTTTTATGCTTTTAATGTAGCTGCAGTTTGGGCATTTGGGCATAAATAAAAACTACCATAAACTATCGACCAGCAATATGAATGTAAGAATTAGTTCTTTAAAATTAAACACAGATATGTCTGAGTTGCACTAAAGGAAAAAGTGGAGACGGGGTGTAGGTTGGGCAGGATGGAGGCATGCAATTGTTAAAAAGGATTATTATTATTATTATTTTTATTATACAGGATTTATATAGCGCCAACAGTTTGCGCAGAACTTTACAATATAAGGGGGACAGTACAATTGCAACACAGTTCAATACAGAAGAAACAGGAGGGCCCTGCTCATGGAGCTTACAATCTAAAGGGAGAGGGAGGTGGTACAAAAGGTAATAGCTGCAGGGGATAGCGAAGTACAGATTTTTTTAGGTGGAGGTGGAGGTGGAGGTGGGGTAGGCTTCCCTGAATTAATACATTTTCAAGGATTGCATGAAGGTGGACAGAGTAGGAACTAACCAGACATACAGGCTCTGAACACAGGTAGGGAGACTCTTCACTGAGTGCTGGGTAAGTGGCTGTTTTGTACCCTCAGCTGTGACTTATATTGTCCTCCTGTACTGGAGAGGGACCAAATGAAATGTCTGTGGGTGCAGTTTCTGTGGATGCAGTGTCTGTGGGTGTGGTGTCTTGTGGGTATGTGGTCTGTGTGGTATGTGGATGCAGTGTCTGTGGGTGCAATGTCTGTGGGTATGTGGATGCAGTGTCTGTGGGTGTGGTGTATGTGGGTGCGATGTCTGTGGGTATGTGGATGCAGTGTCTGTGGGTGCGATGTCTGTGGGTATGTGGATGCAGTGTCTGTGGGTGCGATGTCTGTGGGTATGTGGATGCAGTGTCTGTGGGTGCGATGTCTGTGGGTATGTGGGTGCAGTGTCTGTGGGTGCGATGTCTGTGGGTATGTGGGTGCAGTGTCTGTGGGTGCAGTGTCTTAGGGTACATGGATGCAGTGTCTGTGGGTGTCGTGTCTGTGGGTATGTGGCTGCAGTGTCTGTGGGTGTGGTGTCTGTGGGTACATGGATGCAGTATTTGTGGATGCAGTGACTGTGGGCACATGGGTGTGATTTCTGTGGGTATGTGGATTCAGTGGCTGTGGATGCAGTGTCTGTGGGCGAAGTGTCTTTGGATGCAGTGTCTGTGGTTGCAGTGTCTGTGGGTGTGGTGTCTGTGGGTACGTGGATGCAGTGTCTGTGTGTGTGGTGTTTGTAGGTATGTGGATGCAGTGTATGTGGGTGTGGAGTCTGTGGGTATGTGGATGCAGTGTCTGTGGGTGCGGTGTCTGTGGGCACATGGGTGCGGTATCTGTGGGTGCAGTGTCTGTGGGTGCAATGTCTGTGGGTGCAGTGTCTGTGGGTGCAGTGTCTCTGTGTACGGTGTCTGTGGGTGCGGTGTCTATGAGTATGTGAATGCAGTGTCTGTGGGTGTGGTACCTGTTGTGCAATGTCTGTGGGTGCGGTGTCTGGGGGTATGTGGATGCAGTGTCTGTGGGTGCAATGTCTGTGGGTGCGGTGTCCGTGGGTACATGGATGCAGTGTCTGTGGTTGCAGAGTTTGTGGATGTGGTGCTTGTGGGTGCGGTGTCTGTGGGTATGTGAATGCAGTGTCTTTGGGTACAAGGGTGTGGTATCTGTGGGTGCGGTGTCTGTGGTTATGCGGATGCAGTGTCTGTGGGTGCAGAGTCTGTGGGTGCAGGGTCTGTGGGTGCGGTGTCTATGGGTATGTGAATGCAGTGTCTGTGGTTACGTGGGTGTGGTATCTGTGGGTGCAGTGTATGTGGGTGTGGTATCTGTGGTGCAATGTCTGTGGGTGTGGTGTCTGTGGTGCAGAGTCTGTACGTATGTGGGTGCAGTGTCTGTAGGTGTAGTGTCTGTGGGTGCGATGTCTGTAAGTGCGGTGTCTGTGGGTACATGGATGCAGTGTCTGTGGTTGCAGAGTCTGTGGGTGCGGTGCCTGTGGGTGTGGTGTCTGTGGGTATGTAAATGCAGTGTCTTTGGGTATGTGGGTGTGGTAACTGTGGGTGCAGTGTCTGTGGGTGCGGTGTCTGTGGTTATGTGGATGCAGTGTCTGTGGGTGCAGCGTCTGTGGGTGCGGTGTCTGTGGTTATGTAAATGCAGTGTCTGTTGGTACGTGGGTGTGGTATCTGTGGGTGCAGTGTCTGTGGGTATGTGTATGCAGTGTCTGTGGGTGCAGAGTCTGTAGGTAAGTGGGTGTAGAGTCTGTGGGTACGTGGGTACAGTATCTGTGGATGCAGTGTCTGTTGATGCGGTGTCTGTGGGTAAGTGTATTTAGTGTCTGTGGGTGCAGAGTCTGTAGGTATGTGGGTGCAGTGTCTGTGGGTGTAGAGTCTGTGGGTATGGTATCTGTGGGTTCAGTGTCTGTGGTTGCAATGTTTTCGGGTGCGGTGTACATGGATACAGTGTCTGTGGTTGCAGAGTCTGTGGATGCGGTGCCTGTGGATGCAGTGTCTGTGGGTATGTGGATGCAGTGTCTGTGGATGCAGTGTCTGTGGCTGCAGAGTCTGTGGATGCGGTGCCTGTGGATGCAGTGTCTGTGGTATGTGGATGCAGTTTCTGTGGGTGCAGTGCCTGTGGATGCAGTGTCTGTGGGTATGTGGATGCAGTGTCTGTGGGTGCGGTGCCTGTGGATGCGTTGTCTGTGGGTATGTGGATGCAGTGTCTGTGGGTGCGGTGCCTGTGGATGCAGTATGTGTGGCTGCAGAGTCTGTGGATGCGGTGCCTGTGGATGTAGTGTCTGTGGGTATGTGGATGCAGAGTCTGTGGATGCGGTGCCTGTGGATGTAGTGTCTGTAGGTATGTGGATGCAGTGTCTGTGGGTATGTGGATGCAGTGTCTGTGTCTAGGTCTCTGTCTGCCACACATGATGCAGGCCTTTGGGGAATGACATTGATCGAGCAAGACTCTCTGAGTTCTTCCTTCAGCCTCACCGCAGAACATGATGCTGGCGCGCAGTAGTAGCCACCTGTAAAAACCCCCGCGGAGGAAGACAGAAAGCAGAATCTGTTACACAAGGTGAGTAGCCAGATTCTGTTTTCTACTTCCATATCGGGTCTGGTGCAGGCTTCCAGGGAGAGACTGTGGCACAGGCAGGAACTTACACTGCTTGAGTAATCCTCCCACTGCAGTGTGTCACCTATCATGGTGTGCAGCACCTTATATACTTCATTCATTCTTTAATTTATTATCACATATTTATATAATTCCAAATGATTGATAAATTGCAGTGACTGAAGCAGGTTAAATATAACTAAAAGACATCTAAAAACTGTTAGTTGTCATTATTTGTAATTTGATTGAAAAAAAAATGAGCTGCTCAGTCTAAAATGCCCTGGCTTATTTTTGTCCCAGTCTGGGTCTGTTGATCGGTAAATTTGTGATATGTGAGGAGATTGAGGG